AGCCTTTCTACTCCTTCCTCTACTGCAAATTCTACTCCCGCATACTCATCCTCTACTTCAGTATCTTCCTCCTCGTCTATTGCCTCCGGCTCCACCAAATTGACCTACTTCCTCTCAGGACAGTTATTGGAACGATGTCCAGGCTTTTGACATCTATAGCAAATTTCTCCTGTGGGCTTAGCATACAGATTTGCATTCTAAGGTGTGCCTCGAGTGTGACCTCTGTTCCCAAACTAACCACTGTTTTCAACCTTGCTCCTGTTAGGATTAATTGGGGCTTGTTGTAAGGCATTTCCTTTGTCTGAAGGGCTGGATGTTGATGTTTCGATAGGTAAGGGCCTCATATATGAAACCATCCTCTTATCAAATTCCATCATCTCCGCTTTCATCGCCATGTTAATGGCTTCCTGTAAAGTCCAAATATTCAGCATCCCAATTCGATCTTGAATAGCCATCTTCAAACCACTGGTATACCTGGTTACCCTCTGATTTTCAGATTCTGACAGATTATTCCGTTTTGCCAATCGCATAAATTCATTGGAGTAATCCGACACTGTTCGATTTCCCTGCGTGCATCCCATGTACATATGATATAAAATCTATTCGTAATCTGCAGGTAAAAATCGATCAAAGACTGCTTCATCTTTCTCTAAGTTCGAATCTGACTCTTTTCCTGTCTCCTTCGAGCAATCTGTAATTGATCCCACCATACTGCTGCCGCAGATTTCATACAAAATGCCACCATCTTAACCATCTTGTCCTCTGAAACATCCATAATTTCAAAGAATCTCTCCACCTCTACCAACCAATCCAAGAAGTCCTCGATTTTCATGTTTCCAAAGAACGGAGGAATGTCTACTTTAATCCGATAATCATGAAAGGTATTTTGATTTTGACGATTAAGATGATGCGAAGGTACTTGAACTCCTCCTCCGACTCTGATTCACTGTCTTCTACTACACGCCTCCTATTATTTTCTCTTTGTACTATAGGTTCAACCATCCGCTCATTGTTGACTGCCCCTGTTCATTCTGTCCATTGTTTCCAGCACCTCGTAAAAGCAATTGACGAATTTATTCAATTTGACTAGTGAGATTGTCAATCCGTTCGTCAAGCTTTTGGTTTGATGCATCTAAATCTGCTCTAGTAACTGGTACGTCACCAATGTTATGAATCAAAAGATATCAAGACAGGAAAGCCTGCTCTGATACAACTTGACGTAGCGAAAGAAAGGAATTCAAGCGAAAACCTTGTGATCAAGAAATTTGGAATCCACCAAATTAAAGAGAAATAAACTTCATGAATTTTATTAATGAATAAAATGGAAAAAACAAACTAACCCTATATTTATAAGGGTTTACATGGAATTGTAGTTTAAAACAATTAAAAGTAATGAAATCTAATCTAACTAAAATTGTAAAAAAAGGAAAATAAACAAATTGATAAAAAAGCGCAAAATCAGTTTTCGAGATCTAAACGAACTCGAATCGCCGAAATTTATCGTACATCACGGCTAGCAGTGAGTATTGTTCCCCTCATCGTTCTCTTTCTAAAATGGTCTTATGGAACCGATCCGGAATCAAGATAATGTTCTATTTCTACTAGTATTCTTTTTCCAATATGCCTATTATGTCCTATATTATATTTGCACATTTATTTGACTTCTAATGAAAGTGACTTGAAGAAGTCTGATTCATAGTTGCATTAACAACGCATGTGTTGGTATTTAAAGAGTCCAATTATGTTCAAATCAAAGTGAATGATTATGACTCATTAGCTTGTCCAGTAAACGTGTATATATGTCATTCATAAGAAAAAAATTTAAGTGTAATTAATTGTGAAATAACTTTCAGCAACATAATAACCTAGAATCATTTGCATATGGTTGAATTCTATATTCGGTTTCGACATTACTGTGGTTGAATGGTTAAAAATGGTGGCTGATGGAAAGGGGTAATTAGATTTTTTTATCAGCATCAAAAATAGGAAACTAATTTGTTGATTTTGGCAGTGGATAGAAAAGAAGAAAACTAATGCTTTAATGTTTTATCGTTGATCCTTGTAAAAGCCTTTAGAGTGGAGATGAAAACTGATAACCCGGATTTCTTTAATGCATAAATGAAGGATGTTTTGGAAGATGAAGTTAGAGACTTTTCACAAGAAACTAAGTTTCTCTTCCCACTGAAGGTATGATAACCATGTGTTAAATGCCCCCTCGAAGGTAAATCAAGACCCATGATCCTATCATGTGGCTTGAGCACTGCTGTTTAGGCAGTGAAATTTGCCTGAGAACCACTGTAGGGCTGTACATTAACATCCCACTTAGTGGGATCGAGGCGGTAAGACTATAGAGCACAGGAACAGGTGAGAACTTCTATTTGGTCGATGTATTCGATACCTTCGTAATATCGGTTCCTCAACATGCCTGTTGGTAAGGATACTGCCGAGGGCTTCAATAACTGCATTTCTCCTTTTCAATGAGATCGTGGATCTTGGGATCCACAGGGACGAGAGGAGTGTTGCCCCAAGTGGATACTAGATCCATTTTTGGTGAAGATGATGAACGTGCTGAAGCACGGTTTGAAGGAAATATGTTCATCTCCAATGAATGCCTAACATTCAAGGATGAAAGTATGCGAACAATATAGTTGTGTCTATTCAATTTTATTTGTGAGAAATATTGGTTGAGAATTTGAATATGAAATGTGAATGTCGTTTGTTTGTGTCCACTGCATGCATATTTTGACAATGGCAGTTGGTAAATTCATGAAAACCAATTTTATGCAACGTGAAAATTAGTTTGTGTTGACTATAATTGCAATATCTTTAAATGTGGAAGTATATAGACTTTCACAGGGCATTAACATTTCTAATAAATTTTGTATGATTTGAGGTGGAGCATATGAAATGAATATTGTGTATCTAATAGATGAATTGAACTTTTAAAAGAGCTGATGAGCTCTAAGTTCTAACCTAACCTAAGATTTGTGGGGGTTGCAATACCACCCATAGAATACATTCCTAATTGAGGACTTGTGATTACTTTACAAGTTACATTCTTTATAGCTTATAAGTAATAGAATTTTTTCTATAAATATAAGAAGGTAGAAATCTCTTATGCTAATTTTAGAAGTAAAAGGATGATTCACAAAAATGAAGCGTCCTAAACAAAAAGTATTGAAAAGTTGATTATTGCATTTGTATTGGATATGCAATAATGGCACTAGAATATTTTGAGAATATTCATAAGTTGAAGTGCATTGTAGTTGATAAAGGTTAAATGATGTATCTATTATAAAATGAGTCAAAATTCACTAGCAAATTTGTTTACTAGGGCCAATGTAGTGATATATGCTACAAATCCTCCAAATAAATTGTGAATTGAATTAGGTATAGCTTTAGATAAAAGCACGTAGGTTGATGCCCTTATGGAAGGATTTATTGGTTGGTGACTATTTGAATCTATTAAATGAATTATTGTGATAGCTAGCTATATTTAATGAGATATAGAATCTGTCATAATGGTAAATCTAGACATATACGTCATAGACATAATACCATAAAGCAGTTGATCTCAAATGGATAATCTAGTGGATCCACTAAGAAAAGATTTACCAAGAGATCAAGTATACTGCATATCGAGGGGAATAATCTTAAAGCCTACTGTATAAGGATCTTTGTAATGGTAACCTAACCTTGATGACTAGAGATCCCAAGATTTTAGTTCAATAAGACAACTAAGATATGAAGATTCAATGAGCACTTGGAATTAACTCCTACCCTTTCCTATGATAAGAAAGTGTTATATGTTGAAATTTTTAGGTTAAGTTATACTTTTAATGATTAATGTATCTTATACAAACTAATTAGAGTATGACAAGTACTTTTAATAGGAGATCACCTATATAAGTGTAAAATGGGGCCGCTTTTATGGGAATGTTTCGAGGCTTGAATTTTTTAAAACACTTATGAAACCCAAGAGTTGTTCAAGGCCAAAATGAATATAACGACGAGAACTCGAAAGTGTTAGGGAGGTTATTGTGTGAATACTATTGTCTTGATTTAAATCAATGGCTAACAGTTTAAGACATCGCGTTCACTGATTAGCCAAGTAAATCCAATAGTATTTCACTATGGACGGTTCAAACATATAAGGTACCTATCTAGATGCAATAGGTTGTCGCTCGAGCCCTCTTTAGCATCCGCATAATTATTTACATTAATTTTTATTCATGTGGGAGACTATTGAAAATTTGTATATGAAATTGGTTTTGACCAATTCTCAATTATTTAAGTGGAAGTTGATATATTGTGAATGGAAAATTAAGCCAAATTTAAATCACTTAAATACATGGATTATAGGAAAATTACTTAAAATATTATGGAATATTCTAAAAATTATTTAGCTGAAAATGTGTCTTTCTATATGAAAAATTGTGACTTTTGACATTATCATTTTTCAAGAAACGTGTTTCTTCAAACATAGAGATTGATTTCGATAGTTGTATCTCTTCCATAGGTTATGTCTTTTGAAACAAACATTTTTAACATCTATATATAGACCACATGTATGGAAGTTTCATTCATTCACTTCATGGTTGTATTATCAAACTGATGCATATTCACTTCAAATTTCTGCATTTGTTTGGAGTCAAGTTTTATATAAAAATGGTTCAAAACATAAATAAATTCGTTGATCTACGTAATTTGGAGTACTCCTATTGCGAGATGTGGTCATTGTGTCTTGGAAGACGAATGTTGAAAAATCGTTAGCACCTGTGTGAGGGTATTATCGTCTTAAGTAGAAAGAGTCGAACTCTTGCCTTAACCAAATTCATATTCATACATTTCTCATTTCTACTTTACATATTCGATTTTGGTAAGTCAAAATTCTTTTCCGATTTTATGCACATAAAATGTATGTTATTTGAATATAATTTATGCACGTCTAATTGGTCCAATAATGATTTGGATTCATATCTTTTAATTTTGTACTACAGGAGAGTAAATGCATGGAATGTTGTGAGTTCACTACCGGACGAACTCTGGAATTTAAGCTTCCTCACCGACGTGTATGGTTAATTTTGTACTGGTTGATTTCTTCATGTATATCCTATTGTTTTTTATCACTAATACTGCATTTATTGCAGAAATTTGGCCAAAAATTATTTGACAGGTCCCCTGCCTTCATCCATAGGCGACCTCACTCGTATGCAATATCTGTAAGCCACCCCTTTGTAAAGATTTGTGGCTCATAGTATTAGGGTTGACATGTTTAAAATGTTTTCAATTTCTGAATTTAATGCCATTAGGAGTTTTGGACATAATGCTTTATCCGGGGAGCTTCCGAAGGAACTTGGCAAGCTGACTGACTTAAGACTTCTGTAAGACCTCGTTAGTTTTCGTTCAAGACATTAACTTCTTTAATGCCTTACTGATTTCAAGGATCTTGTGATATGCTTGTCCATAACTCTATATACAGAAATTTTTCTTTTTGAAGAAAACAAAATGCATACATGTTTTGTTGCTCATGTGCAGGGCTATAGGCACAAACAACTTTTCTGGTCCTTTACCATCTGAGCTTGGACAGCTTACAAAATTAGAACAATTGTAAGTCTCAGTGACTGCATAATAATGTGGCATCGAGTACAGAATGTGATACTTATGTTTGGCTACAAATGGAATTCGACAATAAACTCAGGAAGCGATCATGTCATTAATATTGAAGTATGTCCTGTCCTGCAAACTGCACTATCTTTTGAGGATTTCATGATCTCTCTTTGATAGATTTAGGCTCATCTAGAACCTTTACCTTTTCTATTCTCTTGCATCCCTTTCCTTTTCTCAATTGGTACATTAATCTTCTCATAACTATTCTGACATTTGGTCTTTCTTGCTTTAATCATTCAATTTCTTGGTTCATTGTGTTGTAATCTTCATTTTTATTACATACAAGTTTTGGTCTTTTGTGTAATAATGATCGTTATTAAATTTTTGACAATTTTATTTTCTCTAGTAATCTTTTCTTGTCACTGTTGAAGAAGGATGTATTCAGCCGAAAAGGCTTAATTTAATGTTGAGTCTTTTCTAGTCACCATCTTGAAGCTTGATGATTATTTACTAATTCTCTTAGGAAAAACCCGAAAATCATTATGATTTTTATTTTATAGTACAAAAAAATGTCAGTTTTTCATTATGATGTTCACCTTGTCAGTTACTTTGATAGCTCTGGAGTTAGTGGTCCGATACCTTCTACATTTGCTGATCTGCAGAACTTGAACATTGTGTAAGACCTCAAGGACACGTTGTCCTTTTTATTTCAACAAGAAGAATTTTCGTTTAAATTAATTAATTATTCTGCGATCAAAATCACTGGTAAAAAATTGCTGGGGATTTCAGGTTTGCTTCAGACAATGGACTCACTGGCCTGATTCCAAACTTCATTGGGGGATGGTCGAAGCTTACTTCCCTGTGAGATAATTAATGTGTCTTCTCATTTTTATTGAATTTTTTGTGCTTCAATCCACAAGTTTAGTGTATCCTATGTAGTGATATATTTTTACCACTAAATTTATTTGGATTTTCTCTTGCACAGTTTATAAGCTCAGTTTATAATCTGCTATATTAATATACATTTGCAGAAGGCTTGAAGGAAACTCGTTTGAGGGTCCAATACCATCAACATTTGCTGACTTAACTTCTTTGGAAACCTTGTGAGTCTTAAGCATCTCTTGTTTTTGTTTCAGTTTTCAGTATTTTCTCTTCTTCATGCACGCTCTGTGGTAGCTAAAGTTTTTGGTGAAATTGGATGCCTAGGTGGATATGTGATCTGTCTAATGGAAGCTCTCCACTGGGCTTTCTCAGAGATATGAAGTCTCTGCGCACACTGTAAGGAAATATAACAGAGCTTCTAAATATGCAGCAACACGATCTTCTTTATTCCATTCCCAGTTTTTTGGATGCCAATTCTAATTCAATCGATTCACTTCTCTGGCAGAATTTTGCGGAATAATAACATTTCTGGGTCCCTACCTTCGAATTTTGAAGAATACGAGAGTTTGTCACTATTGTAAGTCTTCTCGACTTTTCTGCCCTACTGCATAAGGTTTAACCCTGTAACAACTTGTTAATTCATTAAATTTTAAATATTTCTTTGAAGTTTTTATCGTGATCAGGAGGTTAATATTTCGGTGCTTATTCCGCAATCTTGTCATAATTTAAATTTTCAGGGACTTGAGCTTCAACAATTTCAGTGGAAGGATTCCAGACTCACTGTTCAATCTGAAATCACTCACTCACTTGTAATAAATCATGTTATTCTTTCTTATGGTTGAGAGCACATAATATCTGCCACCCAACATGAAAAAAATAACAAAAAAGCGAAAAGAATATCTTTTTAAGTAATACCTTTCTACGTGTTCAGATTTCTTGGAAATAACAGGTTGACTGGTGTCCTGCCAGCCCAAAAGAATTCACTTCTCCAGATTATGTGAGTGATGTAACACATTTTGCTGCTTTTCAAATGTTAAATGCTGTTTATTAAGGCTTCAGTCAAGGTTCTTTTGTTTGCACAGCCCCAAGGATGGAATACAAATACTACGACTTTCAATCTTTTGAAGTATCTCGAGCCTGATTTAGATGATACATCCGCTAATCAATGCTTTAATTTTATGTACAGTCATACATGCAAAGCATTGGTTTGCTTAGTTATAGTCTTAATGTACAAAAATTATGTGGGGGAAAGGCGTTAATCATGCTATATGTGAAGTAATAATCTTGAGTTCCTGGAGAAAGACCTTTGATTAAAGTTTTTGTGAACCCATTACGACATAATAGAGAAATTTCGTCCTGCTCGAAAATTATGAACAAAATATCTTGTTTTACACTTCATTTAAGAAGTTATTCGTTTGATCGACTGTTTTAATCTGTACTAATGCCTTTTTATGGTGTTTGTGAATTGTACCCCCTCAAAGAGCTTGAGTTTGTATAATATAATTAGTAAATGGGAAAAATCATTTAAATGGCTACGTGTGTTTGCGCATTAAGCATTTTATATAGCCGTTATGGGACCACACAAAATATAGAAAGTCAAATATGGTGGTTTGATGTGATGGATAATGGTCATATTTTTTATTTTTTTGGCCAAAAATGGGAATCAAACGGGGGCTAAATAATATTTATCTTCGGATAAACTACAGTAGTACTTTTATTTTGTAGTTCTATGAGGAAATTGATCTGTGTTTTAACACAATTGTAAAGTGACCTGTAGAATAGAATGCTATGTTGACCTGTGGAATAGTATCCTACTCTTAATATCTATATCTTATTTGCTTGCAGAGATTTGTCATACAACGAATTATCCGGGAACCTCCCTTCTTGGGTGAGCCAGCAAAATATGCAACTGTATGAACAATTTCAAAGTAGAAAGTAGCATGATTTATATGTTATAGTTCAGAACTATCGTCTTTCTCTTCTTTGGGATATTGTCTCTTATCTAAAGGCTGGCATACCCCAAAATTAATAAAAATTTCTCTGCAGTAATTTGGTCGCCAACAACTTCGTCTTGCAAGGTTCTGACAGCAGGTACATATCTGAAACTACACTCTTGATCAGTACATTAGGCTTCCAAATTTTTAACTTGTATTCATTTGAATACATCAAAACTAGAATATGTTCTGTAGCTTCTTGTATAGATGTTTCTCAGTTGTAATATCTTATTATTCTGTTCAGTAGAATCAGTACTATCCTGATCGCAGTAACGTTTCCCACTGGTGAAGAATGTATATTAGTTTATAACCATTGCCCACAAAAAAGAGTACATAAGTCAATATGTCTATCCACTATGGAATAAATTATATTTATATTCCAATCCACTCATGAATGAGATTGCTTTATGCTCTGAGTGCCATAATATACACTATGTCAAAGCAGTTGACATGATACGTTTCCTAATTAGCTATAGATTCTTCTTTCAATCTCAGTGCTATGCCTCCAGGATTGAATTGTCTTCAAAGAAATTTCTCTTGCTATCGAGGAGACCCCCTGTGTGAGTGATATACTTTCTTTCAATGCATTATTGTGCTACCAAAAGGTAAAAAATCTAATCGTGAATGCAGTTTCTCTTTCTCACATTGGAACGTGTACAAAATGCTAATTCTGACTTGGGTGAATGGACAGAATAAATTTCCAGATTTTTAACTTTGAGATTTGATAGAGACAACTGTAATATCATAATTTTGAAAAATAAAGGCACTATGTTGAATGTGAATAAAATACACTTCATATGGATACAGCAGTACTTAGTTGGGCTTGAACCACACGGTTTACTTCTATTTAAAAGTGTAGCTATGGAATTGTCACAAAGGGCAGCAATAATTTGCTATGACCTGGAGTAGGAAAAAATTAAAAAGGAATCAAAATGTGAAGTAAGAAATCTACATACAGCATTTGAACATGTTACTATATCCATAGTTGTGACGGTTGCTTTCTGGGGAGCCTAGGTGATTTGCCACTTTCTTAGATACTTTTGTACTCTTTCAAGGTTAAAAAATACAATTGAAACCTACGCATGCCGATATGAATCTACCAACAAAGATACAAAATATAAAAAAATATAAATGAATGGTGAAATAGAGAAAAATGTAGAATAGAGAGAAGGGAGTATGTTAACAATAATAGGTGGTAATTATTTCTTTATCATTTTTTTTTTCTATTCTGTAAAGCAACGCCGTGGGGACTGCTTTGTAAACTACTGTCTTAAGCTCTGGAGAAGGCTTATTGCCTAGGCTCGCTTAGACATTTTGACGGATACAAGTTTCGTGTGATTATTGTTGAGAATCCAAATTGATAATATGCAGATCCTTGAATGATTCTATATTATCCTGTCTGTTTTATATGTTGCCGTATATAAACTTGATGGCTGAATATTAAAGCCACATTGATTTTGTAAATCTTCTATTCTCCCTTTTCTAGTTTAGCTCTTCAACTATATCTGCAGTTATTTTACCAACGTGATTATCGTCAGAAAATTACTCCAGTATCTGCTATTTATTATTTTTTGTATTGACAATTCACAAATTACTCTTGGGGATGGTTTGCAGATTCCAGTTTTGCAATTAAATGTGGCGGTCCACAAATGAGATCTGCTACAGGGATTGTGCACGAGGCAGACAATGAGATTCTTGGTCCGGCAACATATTATGTGACCAGGGAACGCAGATGGGCAGTTAGTAATGTTGGTCTGCCTTCTGGAAGCAACAATCCACAATATACAACGAACTTGGTTACTTTTTTCCCAAATATAAGGGACCCGGAGCTGTTCCAGAGTGCACGGATTTCTGCTGGATCACTTAGATACTATGGCTTGGGCCTGGAGAATGGTAATTACAATGTGACCCTCCAGTTTGGAGAGACAGAAATTCAAAATTCTCCATCCTGGAAGAGTATTGGAAGGCGCATTTTCAACATATATATTCAGGTCTGTTATGTCGAATTGTAGAATGTGTTTTCAACTATTGATCTCGCTTCCCTTTAAACAGATTTTTATTGTCGTTTGATAGGATAAAAAATAAGAAGGAAAACATTCACCACTGCATGTGACTGGCATACTTCCCTGAATCTTATCTTTGCTATACACCTGGCTTCATAACTAGTTTTACTTCAATTTGATGTCGTCACTGAAGAAAATGTTTCTAATGTCAGGAAAGGTTTCTGGCATGGAATTTCACTTGTAAAATTCTTAACTGAAATGCTGGTTTAATTTAATGCTTTTAAGCCCAGACAGAAACGATGCTTGCCTTAGATCTTGAACTTAAAGGTGTTGTTTGGTTGTTTCTTCATTCTTGAATTCTTCGTTATGGAGTATCGGAACTCCTCTTAACAAAAAATCACACAATTAAGTACTCGGACCATGTGTGGAGGTCAAGCTTCTACGTGAATGAGCTCCATCCTTGGTTTTCTATTTTGTATTCTGCTGCATTCTGTGGTTCGGCAATAATGTTAACGTTATCATGAAACTTTCATTCAATATAATATGGCAAATCTATCCTTGATTTCTCAGGATTCTTCCTCTGTAAATTCATGTCCTTCTGGATTACACCAACAAATACTGCATACAAATCCAACCTCTTGAGTTTGGTCATCAAACAGTTTTATCCCATATGGTACGGTTGATATTACATTATAATTCTTCATTTTACGTGTTCAGGATAATCTAGTATGGAAAGATTTCGACATAAGAAAAGAGGCTGGCGGGGTCTCTTTTAGAGCTGTGGTGAAGGAATTTAAAGCCCAGGTGACGGAAAATTACCTTGAGATCCATCTCTTTTGGGCTGGAAAGGGGACATGCTGCGTACCTGCTCAAGGTGTATATGGTCCCTCTATTTCTGCAATAAGTGTCATCCCAGGTACGTACTGACTCAAAATGTTTGATATCGCATAGACATGTCAAATGATTCTTAATCCATTGATTCCAGTTTTTGACAACTAAAAAAATGTGCAGATTTCATTCCCACTGTAAGTAACAATCCTCCAAATGATCTCACGAGTAGAAAGAAGGGCAGAACTGGTCTGATTGTGGGAATTGTTGTCGCTGTTGGAGCTGTAAGCTCTCTTTCGTTATTCACCATGTATTATTTGGCTCGTAGAAGAAAAAGGCAGAAGAGATATGAAGATGAAGGTGAGAAGGATCAGTACACTTATGATTAATTAAAACAACCACTTCACAACATCCCACAGAACTGTCATGCCTTAGTATATTATCACAAAATAGGGAATGATTAGCTTAGGACATTGAGAAGCAAAAACTGTGTTTCTGTGAATTTGCAGAGTTCTTGGGAATGGATGCCAGACCATACACTTTTACTTATGTGGAACTACGAGTGGCAACAGATGACTTCAGTTCGTCAAATAAACTAGGCGAGGGAGGATTTGGGCCTGTTTACAAGGTAAGCTATATTTTAACATGAAGATTATAAGATGGCCTATCACTTAAATGGGCATTTAACACCTTGACCGCAGAGACAAGTTTGATGTAAGATACCCCGTAACTATTTTTTCCCTTTTACCTTGTGTTTTCTTTCGTAAAACGAAAGCTCTGGCCTTTATGCAACAGAAAAAACAAGGATAATATGATTTGAGCTTTTGCTACCAAAGTGGTAATTATATATATATATATATATCTTTTATGAGGCTGTCTTTCCTTCTGATAATTTATTACAGATCATGTTTCAGTGGGTATCTATTTTGGTACGTGCAATACTGTTTTCTCACTCTTTATATCTGACCCTTTTAGTATTTTTATGACCAAAAGGGAACACTCGAGGATGGAAGAATGGTTGCTGTTAAGCAACTGTCTGTAGCATCCCATCAAGGAAAGAGCCAATTTGTGGCAGAAATTGCCACTATATCTGCCGTTCAACATCGGAACCTTGTAAAATTGTATGGATGCTGCATTGAGGGTGATAAACGGTTGCTTGTTTATGAGTATCTCGAAAACAGGAGTCTTGATCAAGCATTATTTGGTAGAAGCTATATCATTTTTACAGCTTCATGCTAAGATGTTTTTGTGAGCACTAGTATACTGAAGATTGAACATTTTTGCTTCAATATAGGAGGAAACGGAAACTTATGCTTGGATTGGCCAACACGTTTTGACATATGCTTGGGGGTAGCAAGAGGTCTAGCTTATCTTCATGAGGAGTCTCGACTTCGAATTGTACATAGAGATGTAAAGGCAAGCAATATTCTGCTCGATTCTGAACTCAATCCAAAAATTTCGGACTTTGGCTTAGCCAAGTTGTATGATGACAAAAAGACTCATATAAGCACCCGTGTTGCAGGCACAATGTAAGATCCATTAATTCGTGGTCGATAATTTTTATGTGTTCTAACTTAATATCTAGTTGCATTTGCAGTTTAAATTAGAGTATCAAGTAGTTGTGTGCATTACTGAAATTTTCCTGATTGCTCATGCAGTGGGTATCTTGCGCCGGAATATGCCATGCGTGGTCACCTTACGGAGAAGGCTGATGTGTTTGGATTTGGAGTCGTAGCCCTAGAGATCGTCAGTGGAAGAGCAAATTCTGACTCACGTTTGGAAGAAGATCGGATATATCTTCTTGAATGGGTACTGTCTATTCCTTTCTCTTGAATCGATTCTCTAGAATCGTTTTGCTAACAACTCTCACTTAAATGAGTTTTTTAGGTATGCATAATTCGAGAGTTCAAACATTTTTCCTGGGTCTTCCATCCTACTTTGCTTTTGCATGTTGTAACTTACATATTATTCACCCTTTCAGGCCTGGCACCTGCATGAAAGTAACCGGGGAATGGAATTGGTGGACACAAATTTATCTGCATTCGACGAGGATGAGGTGAAAAGAGTGATAGGTGTTGCACTTTTATGCTATCAAACATCCCCAACTCGAAGGCCTTCCATGTCTCGTGTGGTGGCTATGCTTTGTGGAGATGCCGAGGTCCCCACTGTCACTTCAAGGCCGGTATACCTGACTGACTGGAATTTAAGCGATATTACAACATTTACAACTGACAATGCCTTAACTGCAGAAGCTGGTTATTATAACTCATCAACGAGTACGGGTAACACTACAGATCTATATACTTCTCCAGTTAGTGCTGACAAACCCATGCTTAACTATGGTTTTGAATAGCATAGATGATTTTTTATTGTTTACAAGAATCTTTATTTGTTTGGTTAAGGGGTTTGTTAGTCGCAATCAATCTCGAGTTTGTTATGGTTATGGTTGTAGGAAAAAATAATTAGTTGCAGTAATGTTCAGAACTATAAAATGCAGAAATATAAAATTTATCGTCCGATCGAGTCTCGTGATAGCACGATGTCCTAAAGTGAAATTGCCCGTCGATAATTGCAGCGACCTCTGTGGATAATCACTCCCAGGATACAACGATCGTAGACCACTTGTGCAACAATCACGAATGGTTTTTCCAGAATTCTCAATTGTACTTTAGAATATATGTAAAAATCCGAGTATAAGAAATTCAGAATATGAAAACGAAGGATTGATACAAGAGGATTTTTCTATTTTCTTTTTTGTGTGTATTTTTTCCCAAAACGAGATATGAGTTTATATAGGTAGGATGGAAGTAACAGTCTCCACCATGATCAGAGATTAATTCAGAATTTTAATGACTGAGTAGTGGGTATTTTAATGCCTGTGGGTGGGTTGTTAAAAAAACAAACAGTCAGAAAATACTGACTAGTTTTGCCTATTAAATAATAAATAAATAAAACTTTATTTTAGTCAAGGAAGCTCAAGGCCCCAATCAAAACATTTTAACATTTGCGTAGGGAGTGACTCGAACCCCTGACGTTTTATACAGATGTCACATTTTCCACCATTTTGACACTTTATCTAATTTGATTATTTCTTTCACATTTTATATTTATACCATAAATATATAACAATGGTTTCATTGTTTCAGTACAGAAACGGAAGGAACAAAATGTTTTATCATTCAATAATCAATTATAGTCTGCAAGGATTTGTATTTGGATTCTCCTTTGACTCTCTTCAAGCATATATTGGTCATTCCTTCAATTGTCGACATTTTGCCCGAGTTTAAATTTACTGTCACACTGATTCCACTCACTATGCTAGTTTGTGTAATAGTTTTAGTCTGAAGTTTTAAAATTCAAATATGATATCTTCTGATAATAATACAAAATTTGATTGCATTTGATGACGTTTAAAACAGTGAATGGCTCTTATGTATCCCCAAGGCCTTTTTTTTCTTTTTTTCCCAAAAATATTGACAAAGGAAAATCAAGATGTTTGAGGCTTCAGTGGGATCCTAATCATATATGCTTATCCATAACCATTTAAACATACATTTTTGTCATTTATTTACGTTTAATATGGACAACTTAATTCAACTCAAAAGTCAAAACACATCAACTTACCATTATTTTTCTTACTAATTTAGTGGTATAAAATGGGTCGAGTACCTCGTCAGTTCATGGGCCCAGCTCATTTTGATCATGTTCTGTTGACACATAAAAATTCAGCCCAAATCGAACAGCCCAAGGAGTGAAGCCCAATTGGAAGATCCCCAAATCAGATAGCTCAAAGAACGAAGCCCAATCGAACAAATCAAGATGAAGGCCCAAGAACGCGGTAACGCCATCGCCCAAGTTTGCAAGTCG